ATCTCAGCTCACTGCAACCTCTGCCTCCTGGGTTCAAATGATCCTCATGCCTCAGCCTCCCAAGTAGCTGGGATTACAGGCATATACCACTATTCCCAGCTAATTTTGTACTCTTAGTAGAGACAGGGTTTCACCATGTTGGTCAGTCTGATCTTGAACTCCGACCTCAAGTGATCCACTCTCCTCAGCCTCCCAAAGTGCTGGGATTACAGGCATGAGCCATCGTGCCCAGCCATCTTTGCACGTTTCTGATTGGGTTGTCTTTTTATTGTTGAGCTGTAAAAGTGCTTTATATATTCTGGGTACAAGTCAAGAGATGTGATATAAAGATTCTTACATGGTATTTTTTCCTGTTGTGGAGATAGTAGTAATTAATAATTTGCAAAAAGGCTTAAATGCAATTAAGTCTTAATAATAGCTAAAATTAATTTCTCTGTGTTTTAGAAGTTGGGAATACTTACTCTTAGAATATAATGCTCATACTACTGTTGTTAATGGGAGTAGACTGCAAAAGAAATTGCTCACAATGAAGAAATCATGCTTTAAGATAAATATGGATCTTAACATAAATAGCATTTACTTTCACTATAACCAACATTCAGAATATGACTAAAAATGGCATCTGAGATACCAAAATAGAGGACAGCCAGCGAATGCACTAATGATAATGTCATTTGGGAGCCACTGATTAGTGATATAGCTATCTGTATGACGGTTTTTTTACTTAAAACTTTTGAGCTCTTAATTTATACAAGATTATGGCAAGTTTTAAAAATCTATTTTTCAGGCTGGGCACAGTGGCTCACGCCTGTGATCACAGCACTTTGGGAGGCTGAGGTGGGAGATCACTTGAGGTCAGGAGTTCAAGACCAACCTGGTCAACATGGTGAAACCCTGTCTCTACCAAAAATACAAAAATTAGCCGGGCATGGTGGCAGCTGTCTGTAATTCCAGTCACTCAGGAGGCTGAGGCAGGAGAATTGCTTAAACCTGGGAGGTGGAGGTTGCAGTAAGCTGAGCTCGTGCCACTGCACTCCAGCCTGTGCAATAGAGTGAGACTGTCTCAAAAAAATAAAAAATTATTTTTCAGGCTGGGCATGGTGGCTCCCACCTGTAACCCCAGTACTTTAGGAGGCCAAGAAGGGAGGATTGTTTGAGGCCAGGTGTTTGAGACTAGCCTGGACAACATGGCAAAACACTCATCTCTACAAAAAAAATTTTTTTAATGTTTTTAAATTAGCTGGGTGTGGTGATGTGTCTGCAGTCCCAGCTACTCAGGAGACTGAGGCAGGAGGATCATTTGAGCCTAGAAGTTTGAGACTGCAGTGAGCCATAATCGCGCTACTGTACTCCAGCCCAGGCAACAGAGCAAGACCCTGTCTCAAAAAAAAAAAAAAAAAAAAAAAAAGAAAAAGAAAAAAAAGGTTTTCCAAATACTCAACAAAATTAAAAGTAGAAAATTAGAGACATGAAGGAAAATGGCTGATAGGCTGATGAAGCATGATAAGGAATATGGAAGGGCAGGACAGAGAAACTATAAGAGGGGCAGCTATGGGAGTTATTTGGTGTTGGGTAGGACAGCCCTGGCTGGCTCCATTTTCTCGAGGACTTCATTGTAGTATAGCAGGAAGCAGTAATTTCTTGATGGATCAGCTTCATTGTTATGGATGTGAAAGACTAAATTGGATTTAGGAAGACATGAGTCTGCAGTAACTCAAATTTCTCTAACGTTGTTTAAAAGAAAAATGTTTGGATGCTTACATTTAGAAACTCTCATGCAATAGAATCTTTCTTTGAATGACCAGGGCTTTGCTATAATTATTTTTCAGTAGTATTCCTAATGTTGAAAAGAAAAGGTTTTTTATTTCTATACTGTGAGTAAAGATATTGAATTAAAGTTGCAATTTCATACATATCCTTTGTTTCTTTCCTTTGAAATTCAGAGAAAGGCAATATAATTTTGTATTTAAAGGATTTTGATTTCTTAATTTTAATTTTTAGTATTTTTATCTAAAGGAAAACCAAGATCCTGCTCTTTATTACTTTCCAATTGCCTTGAGAACTAAAATATTCTCACTTATTCTGTAGTTACAAAAACAACGTCTACTTGTCAGGCATCTTTAGATCAGTGTCTCAACTTGCTTCTACATTTAAAGTGAACCCTCCTTATCAGTAAACAAGCAAATCAACATATAATGTCTTCTATTAGACACTGTTTTATGGAATGTGGGGACATGTAGAACATATTAGCTGTGGTTCCTGCCTTTTAATGATTTGTGAGGGAGGATGAGGTACTGTCTTTGATCATGTCCCATCATTTTAATTGCAACACGATGAGAACTCAGAACTGAGGTTTTCTTGACAGACTGGAATGTAAGGTTAACCTGACAAGTTGACATTTAATAAGGGCAATCATCAAGACATGCTCTAAGGCACTTTCAAAATCCAAACTGTACAAGGACGAAGATCTAGTTGACTTTAGAAGTAATATGATTTGTCAGTTGATGTGGTCCTAGCCTGGGAAATAGAAATAGAGACTTAATTGAGTGATTCTGCTCTAATGAGATCACTTTATCCACATATAATATCATTTCTGGATAGTGTTAAATCTGTTATTGGCAGACTACAGGAAGTGCATTGAACTCACCAAGACCATAGGTATACCAGAAACCATGTCACAGGATAATGTACAAAGAGACAGGAAATGTTTGACCCCAAAAACAAAGAAATAGCTAGGCACAATGAAATCATACTCAAGTACCTAAGGAGCTGTTATTTGGGAGGAGGGATGATTTTATTTGCGGCAGAACCAGGGCCGCTTGATGGCCCAGGTGATGGAGTAGCAGGGCGTTTGTCCTTGGGTCCAGTGTATTGTAATAATGGCTTGGGTTGCCTTGAAAGATGCAGTAAGTTTCTTAAGATTGGAGGTATTTGGGGAAAGTATAGACTGTTACTTGTAAGATATTTTCTTCTTCTATATCTCATTTGTCTTTTTATTTTGAAAAATTTCTAACCTATGGGAAAGTTTCAAGAATAATACACACTTGTATGTCCTTCACTTACATTTGTCAAATATTGACATTTTGCCACATCTGGTTTAGACTTTTACATATTATTTGATGTTATTTATTTACTTTTAATTTTTTGTTGAGCTATTTGAGAATAATTTGCAGATATAGTGATGCTTTACCCCTAAATACTTCAGATCTAGCTGGGTGTGGTGGCTCACACCTGTAATCTCAGCACTTTGGGAGGCCGAAGCAGGTGGATCACTTGAGGTCAGGAGTTCGAGACCAGCCTGGCCAACATGGCAAAACCTCATCTCTGCTAAAAATACAAAAATTAGCCAGGCCAGGCATGGTGGCATGTGCCTGTAGTCCCAACTACTCGGGAGGCTAAGGCATGAGAATAGCTTGAACCCAGGAGCTGGAGGTGCAGTGAGCTGAGATCACACCACTGCACTCCAGCCTGGGTAATAGAGTGAAACTGACTCAAGAAAAAGAAAAAAAGAAAAGTTTTAGATCTTTTAAGAACAAAACAAGGATTATTTTCTTACATAATCACAATAATCAATTTCACAAAATTAACATTAATGTTATATAATATACATTTTGTATACAAATTTAGCCAGTTGTCCAAATAATGTTCCTTGTAAATTTTTCCTTCCATCTAGGATCTAATTCAGAATCCCACATTGTATTTAATCATCTCTTTAGTCTCTTTTTATCTGAAACAATTCTTCAGCCTTTGTTTTTGTTTTTCTTGATACTGCCATTTATTTTAATTTTAATTTTAATTAATTTATTTATTTTAGAGACAGAGTCTTGCCCTGTTGCCCAGGCTGGAGTGCAGTGGTGCAGTGGTGTGATCATAGCTCACTGTAGCTTCGACCACCTGGGCTCAAGCAGTCCTTCTGCCTCTGCCTCCCAAGTAGCTGGGACTACAAGTATGTGGCACCACACCTCGCTTATTTTATTTTATGTGATGTTATGTTAGGTTATTTTGTCATGTTATTTTATGTTATGTTATTTTATTTATTTATTTTACTTTATGAGACAGAGTTTCACTATGTTCCCCAGACTAGTCTTGAACTCCTGGCCTCAAGTGATTCGCACACCTTGGCCTCCCAAAGTGTTGAGATTACCGGCATGAACCACCACACCCAGACAATACTGACATTTTTTAAGAGGAAAGCAATTGTGGAATTGTTTGTAGAATGTCCCTTGATTTTGTTTTTTTCTCTCTTCATATGATTAGGTTCAGGATATGTATGTCTGGCAGGAATGTTATGTAGGTGAAGTCGTATCCCATACTAGTGTAACACATTAGGGAGCACGTAATGTCTGTTTTATTGGTGATGTGAGCTCTGATCACTTTGTGGTGTACTGTAAGGCATCTTTTCCCTTTGTAATGAATAAATGTGTGGGAAGAAAAGTTGAGACAATGTCAATATCCTGTTTACCAATAAACTTCTAGTCAGTAGTTTCAGCATTCATTGATAATATTTGTTCTAATTATGTTCAGGAACAGAGCAGGACCCAGGATGCAAGACCCTAGGCATCCCCGAGGCCTTCCACCGTCCCCAGGCCTTCCAAAGAGACAGCGGCAAGACCGCACAGTCTACAACTGGAAACAGCAGGAAGTGCTAGAAAATCACTTCAAGAAGGAGCCGTACCCAGGCTATGACACACGACAAAAGTTGGCGGAGACGCTCAACCTCGGGGAGTACCAAGTGCAGGTGTGGTTCAAGAATCGCCGGGCCAAACGCTCTCGGGAGCGGTTGTTCCAGCAGCAGCTCCAGCAGTTCCAGCA